TCATTGGCCGACTGTATCGTCATTTTGTTTGGATAGACGTACATCCATTGGTCATAAAGTTATGGGACACGTGCCGCCATCTTTGCAACTTACACACGGTGTAATTGGGTATCATGACTTCCCGATTCCATCAACGAACCACATGGATTATGCTGATGTTGGTGTATAGATTGACACCAGTGTGCCGCCATCGCGTATAGTGAAGCCTTGTATATCGAGCGCAATTAAGCGGATTTTACCCATAGATGGAAATGACAGCAACCCACTGACTCCTATCAATGCGTTACGTAATCAACAGCCTATTAGCGACAGGATGCAGAGGACACAACCTAACTCTCCAGCTCCCACAGTCTACTGCAGTAATCATGGACTCTTTCCCTCGAACCATTTTTTAGAGGGCCATAGTCTCAACCCCCTCCGCTGCGGCCACCTCCAAATCATTTCCCACCGCTGACAATACGCCCACTTTTTCAACAATTTCTAACCTAGGTCCAGGCACACGGTTTGAAATCCCAGTGTTTATAACAAAACCTAAAGAATCTTCCTCATATCTCACATCTATCTCAGTATTTCTGATAAACATTCGCTCTCTTTACTGTAAGATCCACATACTACGCTCGTTTGTTTTGGTGGATAATCCTGATATAATATTTATAACTGAATCTTGGTGCCATGATGGCCTGTCTGACACTGTTAACTATTTTCGGATATAACAAGTTTATGAGAAATCGGTCTGGTCGTCGAGGTGGTAGCCGTGTAATTTATCTGAAAGAGTCGCTCGCAACAGCAACATTCGATAACCCAGTGTTGAACAAGGTTCAGGAATCACTCTGGCTTACGATATCAGTTAATCAGCAACGCCTGCTTATGGGATGTATATATAGCGCGCCAAACGGCAGCCAAGAAGACGGAGTATACCCTACTCAATGGAAAACATCAGTCGCTATCCCGCGACATAATAATGGCACTGCCCATGAGGTTAAAAAGTTTCGTCCCATCAATCACACACCCATCGTACCTAGAATAATGGAAAGGACAGTGAAAGATGAACTATTTATATTTTTGAACAACGCTAACATTATCAGCAATTCGCAACACCGCTTCATGCAAGGTCGATCCTGCGCAACATGACATACTGACTTTTTAAACCACACAACGGCTGCCATCGACAACGGGAACAGTGTCGTAATCCTGTTCCTGGATATGCAAAAAGCCTTTGATAGAGTGCCTCACAGAAGGTTACTAAACAAATTGAAGGCTATAGGTATTGGAGAACCGATGTTCTCTTGGCTGTATTCATATCTAATTGGTAGACATCAGGTGGTGCGCATAGGCAACAATCTCTCTAAACCGAAAGCAATCACTAGTGGTGTGACTCAAGGGACTGTCCTTGGCCCTCTCCTTTTTAATTTATATTAACGATATATTCCAGTAAATAAGAAATGGTGTTGCATTTATCTTTGCTGATGACATTAAAGTTGTCTACTCACAACCAGGTGCAAATACTCAGGAAGCCATACGTCTCATTCAGGATGACTTATCTGCCCTTGACTCCTGGTGTCAATTGTGGCAGATGTCATTTGCCGTGGACAAGTGTAATATTTTGTCGTACAAATACCAAGTACCACCAGACAGCTTATTGCTACAAGGCGCATATATCTCGCAATGCAGGGTAGTTCGCGACTTGGGCCTGCAATATTCAGTCACGTTTAAATTTCTTGTACACAGTGACTTTCGGGTTTCGAAAGCCACGAAGACCATCCGTTACACCTGCCATCATTTTTACCTCACGGAATCTCGCATATCCCTTTACAAAATATATGTATTACCGTGTATGAAATACTGTTCGATAGTACAGTCTAATCTGCGGAAATCTGACCAGCACGCTCTTGAGAGGGTCCAGAGACGCTTCACGAAAAAGCTATGTGGATATTCCTCAAAGTTGACATACAGAGAGATGTGATAAACTTGGATTTGACCCAGTTTCGCTTCCGATAATGAAACTGAACCTTTGTTTTCTTTACAAAATCATAAATTGCCAAATTCGCAGTCTTGAAAACGGTGTTCATATATCTGTAAACAGCAGATATCCATTACGTAACAAAGAGATAAAGGTCCTAATCCCAAAATTTACTACGAGAATCAGAGAACGTTTCTTTCTAACCCAATACTCAAAGATTTGGAACAAACTTCCAAGTGTTATCCGAACATGCCATACAATTTGCAATTTTAAGCTTGCGATTAGTAAGCATTTTAACCGTCCAAAATTTGATTAATATGTTTGGGACATCACAGTCCCTAGACAACGCATTCGAAAACGGTATCCATGGTGCCTGAATAAATTTTCGACACACATACACAACATTTCGGACAACAGCCCCTTTCATTATACTATTTTTTCTCGGCCCAAGTATTTTTCATGTGATTATCAAGAATCCTGATTCAATGACAGGAAAAAATAGCAGAACGATTCTGACTACTCTGTTGCATAATTCGCAATTGCGCCCATGTTTATTTCTGAAAATGTATTAACGAAATGTCATGGAAAAGTTGTACCATTATTTGATCTGTTTGTTCCTTTTAGCGAACAGTTTCTCGCATCGTCGAGGAATATATAATTTATTTATTTAATATGATGGATCTTTCCATTTTCTGCGATTCCGGGTGAAATGACCACGTTCCGCGCAAGGCCTTAATCCCAATCAACTCGTGTTGGAGCACCAGCTACCTAGATGTCACAGTTTGAAAGTCAACGTATATTTACAGGCCAGCTCGATAGCATTTGGCCCCATAGAGTAGCCACTAAGAATATTAGGACAGAACCGCTCCGAGCGTAGAGAATGTAAGTTCGTGATTCGCGTGAAACGACTTGGTTTTTCTGGCGAACATTCGAAGCTGAACTTGTCTTTTTATGAGAAAAGTGGGTCTTCGGGAGGGGGAAGGTTTTATAGGACAAAATGCCTATTCAATGACAATTCCATCGCCCGCGGTTCCTGCAAAACAGCAGTCTGACCGGAAGTTAGATATGAAATGTGTAATATGAATGTCCGTAGTGCTTTACCTGTGTTTGACATAGTCCACCTACAAACAACCGCTTTGCTATCACAAGTTACAAAATCGCGCGAGGATCTAATGCATCGAATCTTACAAGGTGAGCCGTTTATTTTGATACACCATAACAGATTTCATGATGCGTCGCCGGAGAACGATGTCATTGAATGCCCTGGAAGGGAGTAGCTAGTAATACTAATTAAAAGAGCGTCTATATATTATCGATAACGTCAACTTCGGCAGAAGCGCTCCAATCTGGAGCCAAGTGCAGAATTGGTAAAGATATCTGAAAGGTAATATTTTTGATGAGGCCGAAAGCCGCTGCGCATTTTTCGTGAGACTACTCCACCTCAGCCGATGGAGAGAAACACACGGGAATAAGTGCCAATTTGTTCGTCAATGGCATGTTTTACTTCTCAAACCGATCCTTTCGAGTTTGGATAGTCTGGTCTCCAACTCACATCGTGTATAAAACGGAGGCACTTTTGCAGTCGATTGGTGTGTTCCGCGAAGATAGTGGGGGTAGCCCGTTGGTGCCATCGCCATCAAAATGGTGGTGTGATTATGCAATCATAGGAACGAAGCGGATTTTACATGACGAAGCAAGCGGCTAGTTTGCCGCAAGCGAACGAAGCAGATGATTGGGCGCCTAAGCATCATCGCCTATAGGCTAAGTGGTTCATATTTGGCAGCGCCGGGGTGAATTTGTTTGACTGAATCAAGGAATAATATCATGAATGCAATAACGTCGTTTGCTATGTATAGTAGTGAGCTAGTTATTTACATCGAGGCTTCTACAAGCGAATCAGGCTGTCATTTTCGCTGAGCTTGCATTGTCGAATAAACCGTTTGTCCCTGGAGGACCGAGTTTTGCGACAAAAGTGACATCGCGAAGTGAACATTATCATATAGTGCATTGGTCTTAGTCACCACCATGCGAATAGTGTCTTGAACAGGACTGGAGCGCCACATGGGACTGACCAATGGTGGGTTGCTGCACTTCGCTCCACCATGGAGCGACCGATGGTTGTTTTGCGCGAGAGTATCAGTGGCAATTCACGGCCGATTAAAATGGATCTAAGTAAATCCAAAATCTAAGGCTCCTGTGGTCTGTGATTGGCAACTGAAGGTTGAAGCGGTCAAGGTTCACGGTCCGCTTTGTTCAACTGTCAAAGAGCCCATCTAACTCACCAACCATTCATAGATATGCTTGACTCACATACATAGATAATTGCGCCAAGGGTTCGCTCTTACGAATACATGGAAATGTAGATAAGCATCGCCAAATACCGTCGTTTACTGCTGATCTTAAATGAACAGGATCCGATCGACATTTGCAATCCTAAGACGCCATTAGTATATCTATATCCAAGTCGACCTACTCACAACCATTGTCAGCAGTTTGTGCACGCGGGGCGGCGGCGACGACCTCAAATAAACTGAGAATGTGTGACCTCTGATGACACAAGGGGGCCACGACCGATCCGATGATCAGTGTTCCGTAAGTGCCTCGAGACTGTTGAGGCAGTTTTGCTCTTCGATTCGCCCAAGTCAGCAGTCACAGACTCCCATCTGTTTGCGTAGCCAAATGGGAATCTGTTCGTCGATCTATGCAACCAGACGTTGATCAGTGCGTCCAGTATCCCCGCATGCATAGGTACAGCTAGATTTACGTTGCATCATCGTCGGTGCCTTTGAAGAACACGTAATAAGGAGCCTTGTCGGCACGAGTAACTGAAGCCTCGCTATACGAAGTGCGTACCCATTTCTAACATGCGGCATTATTGAGTGTGTAGGCAGTGTTGAGCAATAAGTAGGGAGGTTGCGCACGGAAGACTCACAAAATTCATAGAAGAAACCACCTCCCTTTGGATTGCCGAGTCCGCTGTCTTAAATCAACTTTCCCGTCTACGTGGTCTGGGTGGCAAAAGTAATGAGAACTGAATGCAGTGATTAGACAACGGATCTAGTGCGTAGGCAAGACATGAGGAATACTTGTCCGAATCCTCATAAATCTCAACAGTACTACAAAATAACAAATAATACGCTCTTGCAAAGCATACGCATATCAGAGTGCCCCGGAGAGGATACACCAAAGTCATCAAGTAGAGAAGGCAATGTAAAGTATGGCATATTTGTAAGTAGTAGACAACAAGAGAATAATACAGTAAATGTGGAATCGTGGAATGCGTCGTGTTGGCATAGAGAAGAAACCAGATATCATCACAGTAAGTAACAAAAGTGAGGGCGACATGGGGAATTTAGAAGGTAAATTATGCTTAGTAGAAGAGTTCATCGAAGGGAGAGATTCCCTGTGGAATCGACGACAGCGAAAAGGGGAAAAGAGTTGGATGCAAGCTGAGAAATCTATAATATATTGATGTACGAATCGATTTTGGTGAGTTGTCGTTGCGAAACACACTCTGCGATCCACACAATGTTGCGCATCTCCTGCTCTTTCAGTTTCAGAAGGGAGTAGAATATGCCGAAGTGGAATTGCTTCAGGAAAGCGTCCACATTTAAGTGAACCTAGGTTAGAAAGGGAATTCGGTGGAATACATAATATGATAACAAGACACACAGTGTTTCTGGACGGCATAAAGTGTGTTAGATCTCGATAACTTCCATTAGCAAAGGGACGGAAATGCGCTGTGGTATCTGAACCCAAGCCACTGAACCGTTGGAGAAATAGGAGTGTGAAGGAAGCCAAGTAAGGTGCCTTGGACTTCTATAAAACGTCTAAAAAACAAGCCACCGATAGTTATGTATTCATGAAATATGTGTCTTACATTAACGATAGAATACCTACGCACGCTGCACTTTTCGCCGGATATGCGTTCGCATCTCATGCCAACGGAGGTTCCTTTGGACACAAAAGTGAATCTACAAAGCCACTGTCATCCTGTTGCAATGATTTGGCTCATGTACGCTGTTGAAACCAAAGTAGATCAATAAAATGGAAGAAAACCAACATGGATTCTTTCTGCATTAAAAACGGGGAAATGTATCACTGCTTGAGTTTGGAGGCCGTTGTCTAACCACAAAATGAAGGTGAAGTTAAGGAGATGCTAATCACTATCACCAAGCAACGAGGTGAAACAAAAAGTATACAGTCCCAGCAGGAGAATTAGATGTGCACATTACCGTTTTGACGCAGTGGATTGCAGTAACGGGGGTTATTAGGACCAGAGCAAGAAGAGAATACAAGACTATAGAGCTCGACAGTGATTGCTCAACTGCTGCAACAAGCATCGGCGCTGGAATCGAGCAGACCTGTAGTGAATGCATCTACTAGCAATCACGAGATCCAGAGTCGAGTTTTCAGCCAGACTTGCTCTGACCGAAGAGTGCAAGTAGGGATGTGGGATACAGAATTGGGAGCGAGCGACATGAGATTTTTCGGCTTCAGGCACGTTCCCTATGATGGAGGAACACTTTAAGGTAAGTTGCACTCCACATGGAGATTGTGTCGCCAGCCAAGTACACAGGGTACGCATACTACCTTGAACATATTCCTCAATGTTACCATTCAACTCATGACATCGGGGTGTGATCTGTTGTCGTATCACCATTATTCATGATAATTCTATAAGTCAGTGGCCACTGGAAGAGTAATCCAATCTAGGAGCATCCACAGATTTTGACTCGGGTAAATGACAAAAAACATGATACGTAGGGGACAATCTAGGCGGTTGATGAATGATGGGAAAAGCGCTCAAGCGGAACAACGAATGAAAAGTGGGACGTTAGTCAAAAACCTGTGAAACACACTAGCGAGCTTATGTAACCAACCGATGAGATGGGCAGCAAATGAATAACAGTTAGAGGAATTCATTCCCGGTAATAATTAAGTGGTATATTCTCTTAACAACGTGAGGCACATCTGGATAGGCATGATCATAGAAATACGAACACGAATGACCGGCAAATTTACAATAAGTTTGTAGGGGCAGCAGTATAATACTGCATCTAGGCAGTGTGTATAAGTAAGTGAGTAAGCATGAATGTTCACAGCGTGTTGCTTAGATTTGTAATGCAACTAGGCACACCAATCTAATGGATTATGTGCACGATGACGGAATACACGGGTCCAATCCGCCCGGATGAAGAATATGCTAAATCATTTCGTTATAGGCTTCTTCTACGTCGCAATAAACTCGCAATCCAAAGGATTTCTTTGCATATAGCTGGTGTACAAGTTCAGCATCAAAGTTAGAAAAGTTGCTGGTACTTGGCAAAGTTTGCCCACATGAGAGATTATGCACTGAAAAGGCCGGTAGTCGTGAAAGTACCTAGTGGAGAACTGGGAATCTTTCGAATCGAGTAAGGCTCACACAATGAACACAGCCCAACATGGATTCAAACGACACGCTCACTGGGGTGAAATGCGACAGTGGGTTGATGATGTTCAAGATAGAATCTCAACTGTAACAGGAATAGGCAGTGGTTCATTAGGTTGACGGATCGATCGGGGCTTTGAATCGTACCAAATATGCGGGTTGCCGATAAAATAGATGCAACTGGTTGTGCAGTAAGACCGACTTGGCACTCCCAATTTCGGAAGCCGAAGGTCTACATTAAATGGAACTCCCTAACTGGATAATTAAAAGACACCGCCCCAAATGAAGGACCTTCAGCTGCGACACATTTGAAATAAACGGCGCAGATGACCAACGATGGCAGTACCATGACGCACGTGGAGTGCTGGGATCAAGAATGGGGTACCAAAAGCATTGTGACTGGTCATACACTGTCGAGCGCTCTGTTCTGCATTAACAACTGTGAACAAGATAAAATGGTGGAAGGAACTTCCTGATGATAACTGGCTCCTGTATCAACCTTCCCACCGTGTGGCACTGCGGCACAAGGGTCGAGAAGCGGTCTGTGGTCTTGAAGCACTTCAATGATGAAAAGGGAAAGGCCGCCCGACAAATCTGGTGCGATGAGCGAGAGTTTCAGGCGACCCAATCGGCTGCAAGTGACGACGTATCGCAAGCTGCGCTAACCAGATCACATTGTCAAGTTCAATCAAGTAGATGCAGTATTCCTTCCGCATTTATGTAGTCAATGTCACTTGACTTGTCAGCAGTAAACCTTCAGTCGAAATATCGTACTTTGAGGGTTGCCAGTCCCCTCTGAACACAGGAACCGACCGTAGTCAGAGAAGCAGTCAGACTATCAGAGGAAACCAAAAGCATAAAGCGTCCGATCCAAATGGATATTGCCTCGGTTTTCTTGAGAATCCTCCCATCAGAAAGCGACAGATACCGTAAATTTGAGCTAATGAAACTGGAAGGTTTATTTAAGAGTTCAAATGAGTGATCTGGTGAAACTGTAACCAGAAAGAGTTTAGGAGATGGTCATACTAGTCTGTTAGCTATAGTCTGGCTATTTCTGATTATTGTTTTTCTGTTAGATGATACAATATGTGCTCGTGCGGGTGCATCGCAATGATTCCCATTTTTTGTGTCCACTGTAGGCGCTGAACTAAAACTTGAGATTCGATGTCCGGACAAGAGATGAAATAAGCAATGAGGTTAAGGAGTAGAGGCATAACTGGAAAAGCAATGAATGAAACACGTGAATGTGAGAGACCCAGAAAAAATAGACGAGGATGAGGGTAATACCATGGAATGAAGTGCGGATAAGATGAATTGATGTTGTATAGCCTATGCGGAGGTAGTTTAAAGTTCGGAAAGGCCAGTCAGACGGAAGACCTCGGGGAACGCAAACAATCAGACACCACCAGTATATCCATCAATGATGCTAACAAGAACACACGGTCGACCGGATTGAAACAACTTACGCACGAATGGTCCAACGCGTAACCATTTCCGGAGCACAGAGGAATTACAGTGACTTGTACGGTAACACAGATAGAACAGTATGCAGCCGATGAAATTTGACCCGCGGGGCAACGGTGAACGGAAAGGAAGAACTGATCTCAACCGCGTCAACACCGAGACAGTGAATAAATGTGTGCTAAAAATAATAGATCGCACAGCGTCCAACATTACTGCAAATGTTTGACTAAACAGACATAGTTCGCCCTATTGGCGCTCGTCAGTGGTGCGCATTCCCTCGATCCTCCAAGGAGGATCGAACCCATGACCGCTAGAGGCAGATACCCAACTAGCCAGCAGCTTAAGCCACTGAGCCATGGAGGATGTTGGCTGGGCTACGTAATCTGCAACTATTGTAATTACAACTAAAATCCTGCTACTCGCAAGTAATATTAAATAAAAATAGCTTTTCCTAGTTTCAAATGCTATGGATATAGCATCTAGCGAGAGGACGTCATCACCTCGCAGGCTAACCACTGTGACAGTGGAAGATGGGTGGTGCTATATCCCAGTTAGTTTGCAAATTATGTAGCCCAGCTAACATCCCCCATGGCTCAGTGGTTTAAGCTGCTGGCTAGTTGAGTATCTGCCTCTAGCGGTCATGGGTTCGATCCTCCTTGGAGGACCGAGGGAATGCGCACCACTGACGAACCCTAATAGGGCGAAACACGTCTGGTGCTTTTCCGGACTAGGCTCTGCTATGTAGCTTGTGAACTACTGGGATGGAAGCCTTATCAGAATTCCAACTAAAATCCTGCTACTCGTGAGTAATACAACCAGACATAACCGAAGGCTTATGATTCCTTTCATCAATTGTGCACATAATTTCAAGGGTTGATAACTGTAAAGCTTACTTCGTATTCAAAAAGCTTATCCTCCAGTGTTTTATCCCCAAAGTTTTCGCCTGTTTCATCGAAAAGAGTTGAGTACTCCTGAAACAGCAAGAGAAGACCAAGACTAAGAGTTAATAAGCACGGGACTATTAGAAGAGTAACCGGCGGCAGCAAAAGTGTCCGGACTTCCTTGACAAACTCATTTGGAAGTGTGGAGGTGGCAGTGCAGTTAAAAAGCCGTCATGGAGGGAAATTGCCAGAAGAAACATTCAACGATACACGCAGTCGGCATATACGGCTGGCAACAAAGAGTTAGGGACAAGCCTAAAGAGATCACAAGAGCAACAGAGATGATCTGGCAAATCAACCCGATAAATACTCCGCGTTGATCGAAGTGAAGAGTGCAGATCGTCATGGGTTGCAGGTGGGGTTTAAAATAGAAATGCTGAGGGTGAAATTGCCACACGCCCTAACCTTGAAATCGCAAAACGATTAACATTACATGGATAAACACACACTAGTCAGTTATGAGGGGTAAGATGAGTTTTCCGAAGGTGTGGTGATGAAGATGTCTCACTCCGCATGATGCAAATGAGACAAAAGTATACATGGAAATCTAGCCATTTCAAAAATGCTAGTTCGTATCGGTTTTTGGATCAGAATTCGAATATCAAAAGATATACACAAGGACTTCGAGTTCAGCACATAGTTGTAAATATCTGCACGTTCTACCGGTTGCTGGAAGAATCGAAAAAGACCTCAAGGAAACCAGAAATTCGGTTATCCGGGGGACGTTGATAACTGGTCCATACAGCGGCGGAAAATAAGTACTCCGCACAAATGCTTCGTTGGCACACAACCATAATGGTCATACGAGTAGCAAGGATAAGAAGAGGGAAGCTAGTGCGAATCCTAAAGGAAATAAGTATACATTTGACTCACATCTCGTGGGAACACCGAGTAAGCAACGAGCGTGTTCGACGCCTTGTTTACAGCACAGAAAAAGGAAATGAATCGCTCAGCACCGTCATTTCACGTACCAGGCTCCGATGGCTGCGCCACGTGTTGCGAAGGCCATCCCACCGACTTTCGCGATGTGTGTTGTTTGCTCACCGGGGGTGTGGATGGAAGAAGAGGAGGGGTGGCCAAGCGATGACTTGGTTGGGAGGAATGAAGAACCTCACTTCGGAGCTGGCCTCGGTTGGAGCGTCACGGCTCCCTGTTTGGGGTCCATAAGATGATGAACACGTTTGGCTAAATGCACTTGCTGACATGGCAAGGAACCGACCTCAGTGGCGTTGCTGCTGTGAGTTTCTCTGTCCCTCCCCATCCCCTTCCAACCACGATCCCATTTCGTATCGTAATATAATTTTACATAATTTTTTTGCCTTGTAGCCGGCTGGTAGCTTACCGGAACGATGCCTACTCATTGCTGGTAGCTCAGCTGGCATGCGATTGTCGTAGTTATTTTTTATGTATTGCGGCAGAGTAGCTGAAGTATTTCCCAACTCTAGCTAACGTGTATAATGACGATGATACATTTGATGGAGAACCGCATATCTTCTCAACACCAAACGATGACAAACAACTCCATACCGAATACAGACAAGGCGGTATGGATAGAACAGCTTTATTCTGATTTTCGTTATCCTGCATCATAAGCAAATTTTAAATATAACTCAGTAACACAGACCCATTAAAAAGTCCAACTAGCAGAGCACCACAAACACGCCACAGCTGCAGCTTGCGGAGCATAATTTGCACGGTTTCGGAACAAGCACAGGGTAGATCACGTCGATTTGAACAGTACTTAATATAGTGGCCAGACTTCATTTCCAGCGGTAAATCAAGATATTATGGAAGGTATTCACACGTGCGATTGCACAGTTTTAACGCTCAGGCTAATCGTACGTTCGCTTATTGTCATTTCAAGGCATACAGCTGTGTTTGTATTCATTCGACTGGGATTCACGATCCCTATCCAACGGATTTAGAATCACGGCTTTATCTTCCATACATCAATGTTTACCGTGCACAAGCGCACCTCAGACGCTCATATTTCTCACAAGTACACCAATCGTGTCGACAACGATGTGGACTTTGAAAGATGACCAACACCGTCCCTATCCAAAGAGACTCACCAGCACTGAGTCCACCAACCTACCCATGAGGTATCAACCCACGAGAATGCTGACCCGGTCTGGCCAAAAGATAGTGGGCACAGGTACAACGTACATACCATTATAACTCCAGATAAGACACTGCCATCTCATAAAAAACCGTGAAATATGAGGCACCAACCAAAAACCAAACTAAAAAATTTAAAGTTATGAATGTTTTAAAACTCAAGTGAACCACATCATAATGAATATCACGGCGAACACCCATGGTCCTAACTAGAAATAGATAGAAACGCGGAGCACCACATTCTTAGAGTACCACATGCGAATGCCAAACAGCCTATAACACCTAAACATCCAACACCGGAATATGAGAAACGTTCATTAAATTACCCGATAAAAAGTGTACGCCGCCGCACTTTTGCATATGACATCGCAACCGATTCTGCGGTCAATAATAACAAGCGGACTTACTATCCATCCTGACAATGGATCCTGCTACCTACTACCTCGTCAACTCAGAGATTTCAACATTCTAATTGGAATAATGTGACATTTTATGACAAATCTGGAAAAACGTATGGGGACTTACACCCTCAAATGCACACAGCCACAGTTTCTAGCCTGCTCTCAACCGCCACTACACCCTACGGAACAATCCCTCCCTCTGCCAAGTGTTTCTAGTTTCGGCCAGCATCTGCTCCATCACATGAGAGTACACAGAACCGCAAAATCCATTTTGTTCGAGCACTTCCTTCGCCGGGGCCAGTATAAGATAATACATAACACAGACCAGTTATTTCACTGCGCCACACCACCGACGTCTGTGAAGACAGAGGATTGGATATAATCAAGTCAGTGCATCCTACCTTACTATTTTCTCTTAATTTCGCCATTATAAATGCTTGCTCGCTATTATGCAGATTGGATCTTAAAACTCTTCACATTGTTTGTATCAACGAAACATGGCGCACATCAACTATAGGTAACTTTCAACTGGATGTTCTGGGTTACCAAGTGTTTCGAAAGGATCGTCTGCGCAAACGCGGGGATGGATATGCCTTCTATATACCATGGCATAACAGCAATCTCAGCTGACCAGTTAGACTTCAGTGCTTTTGAAGACTCATTATGACTGATAATTCCGACTATGAGCTGTTGGGCTACATTAGACCTCCTGATGCCACCTTCCATGAATCACAACAGTTACTATCCATCAGCAATGCTGCTTCTAGCACTCCACACAAGTAGGAATTCCCATGTGGAGATTTCAATCTGCCAAATCTGAAAAATATGTCGCATAGATCTAAAACAATTGGTGGACTGGCGGAAATAATCAAAAGTGTCTGTATCAATGGTTGGAAGCAACACGTCAGACAGCCTACCAGATTAGATAACATATTAGATCTGGTATTCACCATGGGTATTCCACTTGTTTGTGTAGTTGTTATAATTGAGAGACGCCTCTGATAAGAATGTGAGTCTGACACGATTGTCACTGGCACGGTTTGAGCACGCCTACGATAACGGCTTAGAACGCTGGCCGATCTAACAGATTTGCGCTGACGTGATGGCGTTAGCTTAGCCCAGGGTACGCGCTGGTGAGGCGGAAAATCGCGCTAGATTGAGAACGTTCCTAGCCACATGTATTCGGGTAGACGCTGAGCCCTGGTAACGGACGAGGCTACGTAGACGAGACGGGGTGACAGTAGACGCGCTCTAGTGGCTTAGACGCGAACGCTGTCTGCTATCGACGCATACAAAAACCATGTGACCGAACCGACTCCCAACTAACGGCGAAGAGAAAGCAAGACAAGTGTTCCCCTCAAGGCTCTTTTACGACCAACAAATAGTGAGTCACAGCCAATACTATGCGTCATTAAGTTAGTGAAAATAGTTAGCGCGACGGGGTGGTAATTTGTAAAAGAACACTGTCAACATGCGCGCAGTTGTGTCGCGTCTCGGAGAGGCTAAAATCTACTACGTTGGGGGGAGGAACTGAACTCCGCTTTCCACAGCCATTACGCTTGAGTTTGTGGCGCTTTTGTAAGGGGATATTTGACGGGTCTGCAACACCTCCCTTTGAAGAGAAAGCGCACCGCTTCTGACGAGAATTGACCTAGAGGGATTTCGGCGAACTCCAGATTCTTCCTGTTCGTCGGCAAGGCGGGTTCTCCAGACGCGGCGGCGATTGAGCGGCTTCGACCGTGCTCTGTCGTTGTGTGGCCAGTCCAAAGATATCCAACAGGATGTGCAGCGGCAGGCGCACAGGAAGGCTGGCTGGCGTGGAGGGTCCTCCGTGGTGCGGTCGAAGTTGATTGCGATGGCGAACCCCCGTGTCATCACCCACACAGACATCATGCAGCATGTCACCTCGCCTGGCCGTCACTGTTGCTTTGATCCAGCGAGGATGACCGGCTCGATAATCGCGAGCGTAGACCCGAGCGCCAACGACAAATTCTTTGTGCTTAGTGCAGACACTAGAGTGAATAGGTAGCTTATCAGTCGGAATGAGCGCTTCGTTGGTGGTGCGTAGCTTGCAGCCCATCAATGCTTCAACTGGTGACTGGCATTCTGGCGTAACTGGATTCGGTGTAGTTTGGTACAAGAGCAGGAAGGCTTGAAGACACTCATCTACGGTCCCCTCCCCGAGAGATTTCAAGAGCGCCCTCTTGAAGGTGTCGACAAATCTCTCCGCTTGACCATTGGACTGGGGATGGTAAGGCGGTGAGCGGTGGTGTTGGATGCAGTGTCAGCGACAAAAGTCTTCGAAGATGGGAGCCGTTGTCGGACACCAAAACCTCGAGAAGGCCATGCGTTGTAGACAACCCAGTGGCGGATGCGGTTGGTGTGTTGATGGCGACCACGTTTGGCCATTTGGAATAGGCGTCGATCACGATCAGATAGGAAATGCCATCGATGGGACCAGCGTAGTCAATGTGCACTCGGGATGGCGGATTTGTTGGTGGATGCCAAAAACCCGGTGATTGGTGTGGTGGCCTCT